AAGCCCCGGAGGGGGCACGGAGGGGGCGCTGTCGGGGGCGGAGGGGAGGAGGCGGGAGGCGTTGGGGACAAGGAGGATGTCGAGGAAGAGCTCGCGGAGGAAGGCCATGTCTTGAGCGGATGGGTGGGGCAGGGTGCATTCGGACACGCGGCTCCCAAGCGGAGTCTGGCCAGCGTCCTCCCTGACGGGCGACCTGGTCCCCGACGAGGGAGCCGTCATGGAAGACGCTGAGGCTTGCGTGGCGGTGAATGAGGCCCCAGTTCCCGGCCTTAGGAAGGCCACCGTCTCCAAGAAGCAGTGTACCAATGCCACTTGGTGTCTCCCGAAGGGCTTCGCTTCATCTGCCGTGCCCTCTGCCGCCAAGCCCACCAACAAGGCCCAGCCTAAAGCATTTTTGGCTTCAGCAGGCAAGCGAGGGCACCCTATCTCCAAGAATACTAATGCAAAATTTTTTGTGAATGCTCCATTGACGGGTGAACGAGCTTTTTCGAGCAGGACGTCGCATGGAACTTGCAATTTGTTGTCTGCTCGGAGACGCTTGAGAAGGTGGGAGCAGCACTCTACTACCTTATTTCTGATTCCTTCGTCCGAAGTAGTGGACATTAGGTCCATGAGCATGGGCAAATGCAAGCGTATGAGGCCTTCTATCCGACTGTCCTCCGCCATAACGAGACGGAAGAGTAGCTTGTCCAAGTCATCCCTGGTGGGCCCGCTGGGTGAGGCCATACAGCAAGGGTCCAAAGAACGGCGACAAGGGGCGAATAGGACTTCGACCCCGGCTAAAATCGCAAAACGCCTCAGTAAAAGGTGTATGTAGCCCCTGTATTCCAGTGTGTGCATGGATGGTGTTAAAAGGTAAAGGCTTGACTATTGTTCGGGGCGCATAAATAAGCAAGCCTGAAGGAAGTCGCTTCGCTTTCTCCTGCGTCATGCTTGCATGCTCCTCGCCCATCTGTTCTTGACACGCATGCACCCTTTCACATGCTCGCATTCACAGAATTTGTTCCACACTCAGCTTTATGCATGTCTTCTGGTTTTTCGAGTGGAAAGTCGATACCGCGCGAGGACAGCCGCTTGTCAGAAACTACGCCCGCAGCGGGATTTCCGGCGTCAGCGGCAGGAACAACGGCAACAGCAACAGAAAGGGGGCAAAATGAAGACTCCACCATCACGCCCGCAAGTGTGCACTCCGATCAAGAAATCGTCGTCTCTCCTCACGTGACAAAATCACTTTTGAATGAGGACCTTTGGATACATGTTCTGGCTTTTTTACCGCTGGTGGACGTGGTCAAAGGAACCCTCGAGGTCTCAAGAAGCTGGAACGCGATGGCGAAACAGAACGAAATCTGGAAACTATTTTGTGAGAAACGATGGCCGTGGATGGCTCTGGCGGAAACACAGGACGTTGGGGAAGGAGGGACGGGGGAGGCACGTTGGACAAACCCATGTGCCACGTCTGGGTCATGCGGGCGGGGCGCGGCATTTCGAGAACCTGGCACCCTGTACCGCCTCTACAACCAACGGGCTTGTGCCCGACACCGTGTTTGTTACCCTCCCCCTTTACGAAAGTTCACTGACTTCGACCTGGCCGTTGATCTCCGGTCGCGGTTGACCAACCAAGTCATTTATTCCTGCCGGGGGATGTTGGATGAGGACGGGCTCGGAGTCGACCTCTTCACTTTCTCGGGGTGGGTTATGACCACGGATG